TATTTGAAATATAATAGAGTAATAAAGTGCCAAACGAATCAATGCACAATAATCTTTCTAAAAAGAAAAAAGTTTTCATGAATTTTATTTGGGCGGAATACTGCCAGGTTGCCCATACCAAGACAGGGGAATTTTCTTGAGGAATCTACAACCGGAGCCTTAGGCTAGCCATAGCCTGGTCCGCAAAGCAGCGGGTCGGTGTGAGAAAACCACAGTCCATTGGGATCTGGTGTCCAGTTTATCGGATCATACGCCCTTTGGATAGGGTCAGACGTCCAAGGTGTGCAGTACACCGAGATACCTAATGGAGCCGGTGACCACTTCCACAACCGGAAAGGTGTGGGTGGGTGTGGTTCGTACGCCTCTTCTTACCGGTATCCTGAATGAGATGGGATAGCTTACGGGATTGGTCATGACGGCCATTTCTGATGTACATTGTGTCCTCCACATTTTGCATTTCTGCGTTGTAAACTTGTGGTAAACAGGAACTGATCTGAAAATACCTTGCGCTGAGCTAGAGGTAGTTCATAAATGTGAAGCGATTTATGCAGTGAAACATTTAGGTTCAATTTTCTTGAACATACTGTAACTATTTTTCGTGATGATACTTGGGCGCTATAGCCTATATCTCCCAGGCAGATCGTTATTTGATGAAGGTTGGTTTGTTAATTCGTCGTATCATTTTGTTTTTCTAGCAACTTCTCACATTTGTTTTTGATAGTTGCTTGCCGGAAAGCTTGAGGGATCTAGTTGATCATGTATGACGTTGTTGTCATCGGAGCCGGTATCTCCGGACTGGGTGCGGCAAGAGTCTTGTCCCGTGAAGGTCATCGAGTGATTGTTCTTGAGGCTCGAAACCGACCTGGGGGACGGATCCACTCCGTTCGACTTCCGCCACTAGAAACTCCTTATCCTGGTGAGTGAGTATCGCAATTCAATGGCATTGATACCGAAACTATTGAAAACCAAAAGCGTGTGTAATCATCGTCGTACTTGTTAATTTCAACTGTCTTTCTTATTAGGTACCGCATTTACCAATGGCTTTACCATAACCTTTTTTGCAAACTGGGTAAATTTGTTTGGTTTCAGTTTCAGTTTCAGTTTGAACAACCATTAACCATGCACTTTCGTGCGCCGGTTT